GGATGTAAGGGACAGGGCACAGATGGGAGAGCCACAGTTCCTTGCCCAACCTCGTGGTGATTTGGTTCAATCAGTATGGCCATACCCCCCTCATGGGAGTATTGCTAGGGGTTTAATCTCAGTGGAACATGGATGTAACCAATCTAGCTCTCATAACTGACCCAGCTCAGTGGCTCCAGCAGGTTTATTCTAGCACTGTGGGATTCGGTACCACCTCAAACTCCACTAGAAAATCAGCTAACCTATAGCAAGCTCTCTGCTGCCAAAACTACAGCACTTTCCAGTACCAAAGCCAGCTAGTTCTGTGCTTGCTGTTAAATATATCCTATAAAATAGCTAAACATATCAGCACCTGTGATGCTAGGCATTGCTGTGGGTTTGTTACAGTTTGTTTTCGCGGTATCAGGCTCATCTTCAGCATCCTGAGCTCATATTTGTTGAATCCACAGCTGGGACTCCCTAAAAATGAATGGAGCTTATACGAACAGTACTGCCTACATTCTTTTGTTGATAATGTTACATAAAATAAATGCTTCACAGGCCTCCTCCACACCAGCCCTGCTGTGAGCATGTCCTGAGAGGCTGGGCGAGCAACCAGAATGCTTGGAAAGGAAAAGAAATAAAGGGGACTTAATAGTCCTGTAAATAGAGGAGCAAGGGAGAACACAGAGTGACATACAAAGGCAGACCTGTTTGACCTGCTGGTTTTAGCCCTTGTGAAAATGTTCTTCCTTCTGTGTTCTTGGAGAGATTAGAATTCAGCAGAAATAAAGTTACTTCAGTGGTGTGGTGCTGCTTGTACTGCTTTTTCAGTGTATTTCTGCAACCTTCTGCAAGGCTGTGGACATTGAAAATATACAGAAGTCTGTTCAGGGAAGATATCAGTGGGGATTTTTTGTTTTGTCTTAGTGGTTTGGATTTTTTTTTTTTTTTTTTAATCCTCGTATTGCACTGCAACAAGAGGCTGTCTTTTGAAAGAGTTTGGCCTGGGACCTTCCTGTAGTTTTCTCATTACAAATTGCTAATATATTCCATGTTACTCATGTTTCTGCCTTTCATAGATTCCTTCAGAGACTAGTTCCAAGTCAAAAGGATAAGAAATCTTCATTAAAATGTTTCCTTAAGTTTCTCTACCCTTTTTAAAATGCACTGAAAAACGTCACCAAGGGCTGCAAGCCAGTTAGACCACAGATGCCTTTCACTGTCACCTGGAATCATCTCTCTGGTGGCGCTGCCCTGTTACACCAGTGATGGGCTGGTACTCCTGAAAGAAAATAATGAAAAATGGACTGACCTTGCTGTGCACTTCTGCTATACCGAAACTGGATGGAAAAGATTCCTCTCCAACTCTATAGTACTGCCCATGTGTCCTGAAACTTGAAATTTAATTTAGCGCTGCCTTAGGTAGAAGAACCTTTGCACTTCTCCCTGCTCCCGCAGTGAGAGCTCTGCTGACCTGCAGAGGTTTGATAATCTTCCAATTCATTCATGTTCTGTAGTCTGGAGGTTGGGGCCCGTCTCCATCACTTTTCTGTTTAAGGTCTTAAATTTTTTTGAGTCCAGCCCTACAGATGGGATATGAGATGATCTATAAACAGATTTGTTGTTCTAGCTAGGTCAGGTGTTCCAAGCTCTCCTATAATTTTTTGCATGCCCTGCTTGGCTTGCAACTGAGATGATTTCAAAGATTCCCAGGTATTGGTGTTGCCTACAGACGTGAGCCCACATGCCCTAATTTGAGCTCTGCAAATCGGAGACCGCCTTTCAAAATCTGAACCACTGTGTTCTGCTTTGAATTGGTACCTCGCTGTGGGCCACTCGCCCATGGATGCTTGTGCAGCTTTATTGGCAAAAACAAAGGAATGTGTGCTGCACTTCGAGTGAAGGGACCCCTCTGTTGAAAAGGTTTGTGACTTTCATGGTGTAAGCTTAAAATTTAACTTTTCCTTCAGTGTGGGTGCACCTGAATGTATTCATTTGATTTTGCTAAATGAAATGTTGGTTGGTTGAGTTCTGACAACCTTTCCGACCTTTGCTGTTGAACGGAGCTTAGACCTCCCCATTGCTTTGACTGACTTGGCTGTTCGCTTGCTTCACTCGTTTTGCAGCAAAGCAGACCTAGCAATGTCTAGGAAAAGAGATGAGAGAATAGTTGGAGTTATTTCTCCTGCTGCAGTCACATTTTATTGTTGCTGAAGTATCACCGACGGGAAGAGTGCCTCCTCACCCTGCGTAACTTGGGTTGCAGTCTACAGTAATTATTTGCAGAAATTCTCACCGATGTGTACAGGCCAAATTCTGATCTAGGGAAAATCAGCATATTTACTCCAAAACAAATGAGACTTGAAATTAGGCTTGCATAGTTTCATACATTGACTAATTAAAGAATTAGGCCTAATAATGTGTTTTAGCATGCTGTTTCTACATGAAAGAATTAGCTGGGGAAATGATGACATTTAGATGCCGTTTAAAACCATAGCGTGAGCCAAATTTTCCTCTTATTTGTGTCAGTGCAATTAAGAAGGACGGTCTTGTTGACTAATGCACTAGACGGGGGCTCAGTTCCTGAGCTCGGGCTTCCTGGCTCTGCCGCCGATTTCCTGCGTGCGCCTGGATAAGGCCCTTCGCGTTTCAGTCGCCCGCTCGCAGGAGGGGAGAGCGTCCCTCTGCCCAGCCTCTTCGGGTCTGAAGAAGGTCTGTCTTTCAGCATGTCTGTACAGTGCCCAGCAAGAAGGGATAAAATATTAAGCCTGATCTAGAAGTGTTGCTGATGAATAATAGGAAAAGCTGACTGTTTTCTTTTTATTTTGTTTTGGTTTTGGGGTTTTTTTGGGTTTGTTTTGCAATTGCAACAATGTCATGTGAAGCCCAAAGCCACCCTGGGCTGCACTCTGTGGTGGGATTCCTGAAGGCCTGGTTTCAACACAGGTGGTTGAGAGCATTTGGTATTATCCAAATAGAAAGTGGGATCCCATGTTCAAGGCAAGAAGACTGTTTTAACCAGGCTATAACATAAGGTAAATAGGACTGTTGTCCAGCTCTGGCAGCTGCTGATGGGCAAGTCCGTGTATCATAAAAACGCCGTTGTTCGTGGCCACCCTGATGAAGAAATGCACGCTGCTAGCAACAGGCCACTTCCATCAGCTGAGCTGACAAATTGGTTTTCTTCTGCTGCAACTTCAAACCAGCTGTTGCGTTACAGCAAATGCTCTGGACAAAAATACAAGGCATCATGTTTCCTATTTGGGTGCTATCTCTTTGGACATTACTTGCACTTTCTGATAAGAAACTAATGCTGAAACGCAGCCAGTGTCCCACTGACTGGGAAGCAGTCGGTCCCATTTTAAAGCTGAAAGCAAATGGTATCTTGTCCTGAAAAACACTACGTCCACAGCTCACTCTACCTACCCTTTGCACAAATGCCTCGGGTGAATAAAGCTACCTGCTGCTGCTACTTTTCATTCTTTTAACTGTCATCTTGTAATGAGTAAGCAAATGCCCAAAATAAATATGATAAAAATAAAACGGGGTGACTTACACACTCCTGACTGCCAGACATTCAGCTGAGACAGGTAGGGCTGCCCTGTGGTGAGGAAGCTGGGAAACGTGAATATCTGCTATCTCACAGATTTTCTGTGATCTTCCTTGGTTTCCTGTCTAAAAAAAAAAATTACAGTAAGAGCAGTCTATGAAGATGCTGAAAGATATACTGGAAACAGAAGTATTCCGATACTGGAGATGTCAGAGTGACAGAGAAACACAGGCGCTGCTTCAGGCGTGCTTACCCGAAGCTAAGCCCACAAAGGCGCTGGCTGCCGGGAAGCCTGGCCCGCCGGCAGAGCCGTTTGTCGGGGGGCCA